GAAGCTGCACAGCAGATTCTGAATTACCAACATTTATTACAAAGTAAGGATCTTACCTTTTGCAATTGAACAGCATACATAATGCTCAGCTATATTCAGAACCTTCGTGATGGTAATATTTTTAATAAGATATTGATTGATGTTAATAATTTTATAAACAAGTTTAGCCAATTTGAATTGATAAGCGAATCAGAGAATTGTCAAAAAAGGCGAAAGGTTTCTGATGATCCTATAATAGATCCATTAAAACTTTTAGAGTCAACATTTTATGTTTCTTGACATAATAAATTCAGCATTTGATGAATACTTTGATAATAGTTCAATTGAATTTATAAAGATTTATCATTGTTCAGTAAAAAGGCTAGATGAAGTAAAAAGAATCCAGCATCACCCAAAAGATTTTCAATGTTTTGTAAGGTTTATGGAAAGTATGTTGATCAAGACTGTTTAAACAAAGAGTATATCTATTTTCAAAGATTTTTACCTTGAAGAAAATATTAATCTGCCCAAATATTTGCATGGAAAAGACCATAGAAAAGAAGGGAGAAGAAGATTCATCAGAATCAGAATCAGATAATGAAATTGAAATGAACCTAGAAAAGTTTAATGTAGGAGTATAAAGCACGTATCAAATTTTCATGCTGGTAACTTGGCCGCATTTCAACTCTTAATAATGCCTCAAATTGCTTTGACACTTCTTTCAAGTGCTTTACAGAACGGCATTTTCAAAGCTCAAATAATTAAAACTCGTTTAAGAACTACCATGAATAACACAGTTTAGAAGATTTGATGTTAATCACATGTGAACAAGACATGTACAAAATTCAAACAAGTTTTAGAAATCTTTGATCAAACAGTACTGAACTATGTAAAATGAATTTAAATAAAATATTATAATTACCAATGGATTTTTATTTATATATTTTTAAAACGATGCACAACTTGCCGCAAAATGTAATTTACTAAAAATTAGTTATTAAATAATAGAATAAAATTTAGCAACATTTATCGGTAGGTGTTCATAGTATACCAAAGTATAAGGGTAGGTCACCCAAAACTAAAAATTATTTGAGCAACACCAATTTTTTTTTGGATACACGCCACTGGTGTATGTCCTTGCTGTTATTCCATCTTTAACTAACCCAGCGAAAAATGTGAGAAATACATTGGTACTCAAATCCACTTTACTACAGTATTGAACTGTCACTATAGCTTACCATTGATATTGATGCTATGGTGTCAAAGGCACAAGTATTATTAAGTATAATTCTACCTATATTTTGAATCGAACAGCTTTTAATCTCATCTGCACGTGAGCCATTTTTTATAATTGGTAGTGACCTGAGGTTTTTTGAATTATTCATCCGTAAATGTTGAAGGGTTGAATTCGGACAAAGGTAAGAGCGGCATTTTTGTAACGTTTTTGGTCGTCTTCTCCAACTTTCTACAGACATGTCTTCTTCCGTTAAAATATTTGCTCCTTCCGCATTACTATTTACATTAAACGAACACATACGGTTTAAGTCATCTGTGTAGTTAATGTCGTTTTCATGATTTAATTGATCGATATGGTGTAGGTTATCATCTATGTGCTCTAATCCATCTTTTCCGTGAATGTCATGTATTTGGTTTGGTTCATCTGCTTCGTAAATGTCACCTATTTGGTGCGATTCATTTGCAATAACAATTTCTTCTATTTGTTCTAATGAAGTATTTGGATTAGTTTGTTGACATGAACGTAACAATGAAGATCCACGAAGAGAGGTGATATGGTTCTCTAGAAATATTTCCAAATCAGTAGGTAGCGATATATGTTTGAAGGTTGTATTCTTAATTTTGTTAAAACTGGATTCGACCGCTGCAGAACTTGCTGTTTCACTTCCATAACCAAATACTGGTATCATTAATCCAGACCAAAGTGGCAACAACTTAACACATTTAATAATTAATGGTACTAGTGAGGGCAAATACATTGGATTAATCCCAGTTCCTTCTTTTATAGTTTGTTTACTCTTGTCATATATCTCTGCGGCCCATGATTGAAAAGGATTATTGTCATCATCTAATCCAGAAAATTTAAAATCAAATTCTTCTTCAATTAATTTACGAGCCTCATCTTCTGTTTCAGCTGCAGCTATAATGTTATTAAATTGTTCTTCGAAATCTATAAATACTGAAGAAGTTGCTCGTATAAGATGTTGTTTGTGTTTTTCACATTCAGTTGTTTCTCCACTGCGTACATCATTTCCATCCGTCTCGTTAGTTATCACAACAAATAACGATAGTAATAATCCATACATATCATTAAGAGATTGACACTTGACGAGTAGCCCGATTGTTCTCAAGATAACTTCTCTGACTCTTCGAGAAATGGATTTTAGTGGTATCCACTTACTGGCTACCTTTATAAAATGAGTAACATCTGTCCTTACAAAGCATTTAGGGAGCCAGTGTGAGTTAGTAGGAAGATCTCCCAACAATAAATCTGAACAAATATTTATATATTCTTTTAAAGATGAATATTGTGTGAAACATTGTACAATTGCCGATAATAATGCTAACGATTGATCACAGACGGTTTCTTTCGGACATGGAACATCACTGCTCACCCAATTTGCAAGCCAATTGAAAATTAAAATATTACTGTGACGCTCACTCAGCATGTTGGTGACAGTAAAACTATACATTTTTTCATGATCATATACCAAAGCTTCATACAAAAAGATATGTTTTGTTTTAACAGTACCGAATTTTTTAAAGTTGTTCACAACACTACCAGTTGCATCTACAACTAGTTTTGGGTATTTATTTTGTCGATAATATCCTCGGTATAAATGTATTTGCTCAGCACTGTGATAATGCAAAAAAATGGATTACCTCCTATATCATTTAAAACATCTTTGAAGTCATCTTCAGTTTTCATTATTGCTAATGCCGTTAATGTATCTGTATGCCTTTTATTTTTTTGGCGCTGACGATGTTTTATTATTCTCAGTGCTCCTGCAGTTGGAATGATTGTAGGTTCTGTGTTTCCTAATTTCATTTATATTTTTTTTTTTTTTTTAATAAACAAAATTAAATTAATAACGTACATTATAGATAAATAATTGTTTATTATTTCATATTTTTCTGTTTTAATAAACGTGATAAAAAACATTTTATAAATTTGTGTATGGTTTATTGCAACTTAAAACAAAGTCAGATGAATTATTTTATTTGTTTTGGGTAAAATACTTTTAAAATACATTTAAATACATTTTAAATGTATTTTATACAAATGCTTACGAAGTACTTGAATACAAATATAGGTATTTCTTTTAATTTTATACTATATAACATTTATGTATATCGTATATTAGTACAGATGTTACTACTTATCATAGATTTTAATAATTTTACAAATACTTTAACATGTCTGAACAGTGATTCCCAACTTGGGCGCTACCTTTCTCTTGTGGGTATTTTTATTTTGAAGGAAGCGTTATTCTGAGGGGTCGCTAAGGGGGCCACTCATCTATCATTTACGTTTTTGTTATTCATATTATTAGTAGGTATTTAAATATAAAATTAACTAAATTGTACCATTAAAATGTTAAATTATATTTATTTTTTTAATTTAATAGCGTATTAAAAACTAAAATTTTAATCTTTTGAAAAAAATTATTGAGAGGAGGTGGTATGAGATTTTTAAAATCTGAAAAGGGCGTTGAGCAAAAACAGGTTGGGAACACTGATTTAGAGGTAAATATATGTTCACATATATTTAAACTAATATTGATAAAATTATTAGATTTTCAATTTTCTTAAAAAATACTAGTACAGAACCCTTATAAAATAAAATGTGGCATTTTTAAAATATTAAATAATTTAGTCAAAATCTTGTGAAAAATAATTTATAAAACAGACCTTATGCCTTCCTTTTGGCTTTTATGGTACCTAAGTACAAGTATTTAAATTTTATTTAAAATATTTTTAAAAAATATTCAAAATATTTAAAATATACTCCAAAAGGTGTTAAATACTTAACAAGACTTTAATTATTATACAACCTATTCTAAGCAACGTGTGCAGTGTGCACCCATTGTATGATTCTACCAAAAGTAAAATAATAATGTGACACATTTCTATACAAATGTTCTAATATGTGTATCTGCATAGGTTTTAATTTATACTAAAAATTAATATCACTTACCTATTTTCATTAACCGTCCAGCTTCTCTTTCTCTAAATGTTTCGCACGACAATCCTTCGTTTAATATTGATGTCAAATCGGCTGTTTTCGCTGATCCTATTATGCGACAAATAAATTCACTTTTGAACCAGAAAAGCTACTGAAGTTGAAAATCGAAGCATTATTTCGACACGTTGTCATGTACACAGACACACAAAAAAAAAAAAAAATAAAAATAAAAAAAAACACACAAAATTGTAAAATCAATACATTCATCGCTCCGCTCAGAATCTAAAATCACCGAAAATGCAAAAAAATTAAAATAAAAAGATTCATTGTTTTAAAATTTAAAAAAACTATTGATTTTTTTAAAAAAAATTTAGCGTTAGCTATGGCATATATTTGTTTATTTTTTATAAATATATTTGTAAAAAAATATATAATATGCCATATTTTTACTAATTATAAAAATAATAATAAAATATGTAACAAATAGCCCATTTAAATAAATTAAAAAATATTTCACATCGCCCATCTTTTCGTTAACCTTTAACTACTTATAGGTATTGGAAAAATAAGTTATAAAATTAATCAAATTTTAAGGATTCTATTGATATATTTTTTAAAAACAGTTTAGTAGTTTTTGTGTAATAGTCGGTGTTCTACCAAGTAGCTATTCGTAAAAAATCGGACATAATTAATTGAAAATTATATTATCAAACTTTTTAGATTTATTTTTAATTAGCTATAGGTACCTGGAGTTTCCTGATGGTTTGTCTTCAACTACTCCTTTAAACTGCGAATTACAAATTTTGCATCGCCCAATTACAACTATATAAGTTGATCCAGTAGGATAAACTTTGGCCCTACGAAAAGATAAACAGCATGGCAATTGTGTATGGACCCAAAAATGTTCTGCAAGTATGGGTGTCCACATGTTTTTAGGCAAAGCGTTGTATGATCTTGAGTTTTGTAAGGTCCGCGATTTATCATTCAATTTATAAAACACTTGATGAGGCTCAATTTGTTTCCATTCATCTGGAGAAAATGTAAAAACAATTCTTTTTTTTGGCAAACATTCATCGATACTGCTACAATCACTCTAAGTATCTATGTTAAATAACAACTACATTAGATTTTGGATTTTAGATTATTGGAGTGCAAAAACCGTTTACCAGATTAGCACGTCCCCCAGTACCACCCACTAGTAATTAATATAATATAATATAATAATTATTATAGTAAATTCTAATACATAATGTATTAAAACTGAATAATGATTTATTCAGTCTAATAATTTAACAGTGGTTAACTTAAGAGTACATGGTTAGATAAATGGTTGGATAATCATCTTCTATTAATTAAGGATAAAAACCCTACCAAAAAAATTACTACTAGAATAATTGATATTAAAATATAATAATTTAATGATTTTATAAAAATTAATTTCTGTGTATACGCACCATTAAAATCAATTTTTTTAAATTCTATCTATTTAAACTGTTTAAAGTGTCTCTAATTCAAAAAAAAATGTAATTAAATAATAAAGATAAAATTAACAATTAATATTTATACCCTTAAGTTTTATCAATAAATGATTACATTGAATTAGGTAGGGAAAGGACATTGTCACTCTCAGAAAGGAGGGGGCAGCTCCCCCGCTTTTGTGGCCAATGTTTGTATACTTAATACAAAATTTTACCTAACCTAACTTAGCATTTTATATATAAAATATACACCTTGCCCCCCCCCCCCCGGTGAAAATTTCTGCGGAAACCCTTGGGAAAGGATATATCGCTCTTTTAATATGATGTGTTAATTTAAAACGTTGATATAAAAAATTATAATATATAGGTATTATCTATACCATTCTATATTATATTATATTACTTAGGTACGTAATTTCCATTGTTTTAATAATAATTTATGAAATATGAAAAATTATAAAAATAAAAAATATATCGCAATAGAATAATTAACTTTTAAAAAATGATTTTCACCTATAGTCAATAAAGACATTTTATTCTTGTAAACCGAATATAATATTTAATGTAGTTATTATATAAATATGTCGAAAATTCGTTCTAATATAAAAATAAAAGGTGAAACTATGTACCTAGTAAGTTTTCCCTTATTACATACTTTCGATTATACAATAATTATTATGCATTATGTGTTAAAATAGGTAATTGAATTTATTCAAATACAGTAAGTTTTTAGTATAAGATTATTCAAAGTATTTACAAAAAAATTCTTACTTTTATCACCGTTGACTTCGGTTACTATCCGATCTTTAAACTGAAGAATTGCTTCCACGACTGTCTGAGATGGGATAACAGCTTTTCGACCAGCCATATTTAGTATGGTAATCAATAAATATAAAATAAATAAATCTTACTAAAAAATAGTAAAAACAAAATAACCAAAACCACAACACAGAATATAGTTGAAACCAACACGGTTAAAGGTTCCAAACGGAATAGTAAAAAAAATTAAAACACAAGAGTTATTAAAATTATAATGTTATATTTTATTTTTAGTGACAATCGGAAAATAATAATACTAGATCACATAAACATCATAACAATAATAGATTTACTATAATAATAATCGTAGTAAATACCAAAATAATTCAATACAATGATAAATCAATAATATGGATTATTATAAAAATAGAATTGTCTGGAATAATAATATAGCATTAAGCACGAGGGCAGAGTAATCAAGAAATACTTGTTTACTTGATGAACAATTTGTTTTAGGAGTATTCAGCTGTTTTAATGTACTCATATATTATATATTATAGTCATAATTTTATAAATTATATATTTTGATATACTATAAAATTGTTTCTTGTACGTATAAATATATAATTATAATATATATATAAGGTACGTCAAAACTGTAATATGACCAAGGCAACCCTTTGCTCATGGTAGGTATAAGTAGTTATATGCACACATTTTAAAGTAGGTACAAAATTTTAAATTATTTTTTAAAAACATAACTAGCCAAAGATTTCTACCTAGATTTCTATATAGGGGGGGGGGGGGGGGTTGGCGAAACGGACGTCGATTCTACACCAAGACGACTATACTAAAATGTACTACCTTAAGCAGTTCTCATATTTATATGATACTCCAAAATACTTAACTTAAAATATCTAGATTTTCTATTGCAGGGATCGGCAATAGGCGGCACACGGAGGGAAAATAACTAGACCGACAAAAAAAAAACATTTTAATTTTTTTTTTTAACGCTCGTTTTATGAACACAATTTATACTATATCTTTATATAGTGTATTTGGAGATTATTATGGTGTTCGTCGTTTATCGCTGTTTACAATAATAGTTATGATAACACAACGATTATTAACTTACAATCAAGTTTTTACTGGCCCTTGTAAATTGTTTTTCAAATTTTCTGTGCCGCCATAGAATTAAATTTCTGTCCCCTAGTTTATCGTATATTTATAATCATATTACTTACGTATATAGAATTTATTCATAACGCTTTCTGTAAACAATAATATATTAATATCGAAACACTATCATAGTAAACTAGTATAACTTAATCTTGAAACATAACTATAAAATAAATCCATTATTAAAGCCTTCATTTTTATATTGTTGTAAGTATGTTGTTAGTGCCAATAGAAAATATGTATTCTTGAAATAAAAGTTTAAGGATAAAATAAATACCAGCAAGTTTTACGCCTTGGCAGACAATTGTGTTGTTGCGACAACAATAGGAGTACGCCAATAATTCAGTGCAACATCGCCCGGCATTTCGGTGGTGATGTTTAGCCAATTTGGACTATATATTCTATTGTTAATATGACAATTAATTGTTCAACGTATAAAGAAAACATTATCATTATTTTATCCTTCTTTCCACCTTCTGAAACTCATATTTTATTTATAACAACTATACTAACAATAAAAATGAGCTTTCAACCTAATAGTTTATTTATGATTGCCTGTTCGAACAATTATACTGATTTACTACTGATATGTTTCGTATTAATAATATGTCAATTCTGCGTGAAATAATATGGAATACGATATGAGGACAGCCGACACCAGGCCCGAAAACATTACAGAACGTAAATAAGTTAATAATCGTTGATGCTGTATTAGCTGGCGATAACATTTTCTCTTCAAATACACTATAATAAGATAGTATAATTGTGTTCACCGAAACGAGCGTTAAAAAGGTAAAATCTTTTTGTCGTGCTAATTCCTCCGTCATAAATCTAAATAATCTGAATGATACAGTTAGTATTTTAGGGTATAACAATGAACTGCTAAAGTAACACGTACAATATGATAAATATTTGATATTAGAATCGTCCCCATAATCTGGTAAAATCGTGCAAAAATATTTGAAATTTTAACGCCTACACAAAATATTGCTCTAACACGCAACCTACATGACTTAGATATATGCGGAGCGACATTACCTATATATTATATTATATATTTATACGTACAAAACAATTTGCAATATATCAAAATGTATAATTTATAAGAGTATGACTATAATATAATATAATTCAACTGATACTCCTAAAGCAATTGTTCATCGAAACAATGTGCAATTACTCTGCCTCAATAACATCTGTCGAACAATTATTTTATAATAATCATATTGTTGTGTTTATTATTTTGACCATGATATCTGTTATTATATGATATTATTTTCCGATTGACAAGTATATTATGACACAACTAACTCTTATGTTTTAATTTTTATTCCGTTGGAGCTTTAACGTGTTGATTTCAACCACTATTCACGTGTTGTGGTTGGTATTTTATTTTTACTATTTTTAGTGAACTATTTATTTTATATTTATTGATTACCTACTAATATGGCTGATTAACATTGTAGATGGAATCACCGATAGATAAGCAAATTTTTGTAAACTACTGAATAATCTTATACTAAAACTTGCTGGCTATTTGAACAAATTCAGTGCCTATTTTAACACATAATGCATAATATTATTGTATAATAACTTTGTCATGAACTT